CGCGGTGACCTTAGCTGCGTGCCACCGCTAATGTTGTCCATCATCGTCTCTGGGGTTGGGTGAAAGCAGAAAGCAACAGATCCCAGTCTAAATGTACTATTTTGATGAGGAATTAGTGATAGACACTTTTATGAAACTGGTTTGCTTTTTTTAACTTTCTATTCGTTTCCGGGGATGTGATGTCTGTGTAATCATAGTGTTGGCCCACCCTGTATAGTAATGTTGAAGTACTTTGACGAGGTGTGGGCTGTACTGGGTTCAAGGTATGTCGTTGTGGGGATCTAGGGCCAGAAATTACGACCAGGATCAACTGTTCCTTCAAACCCAGTCATCACACTTCCTTTGGAAGTTTACGGGTCCTCGTATGGAGCAACGAATTCTTGGCAACTGTTGACCGATGAGAGTTTACCCAGTACAACTTTATATCATACCTGGGCTTGTTGGATCTCTTTTACGAATAGGAACAAATAAAAAGTTATTTTTCCTTTTCCTTTTTTTCCTTTTTTCCTTTTTCAAATATGTTTACGAGATGGAAAACTCGATACAGGAAGCCAAAAAAGCTGCTCAAGATAAGATTCATGAGAATGCGAAAAGCCAATTTGAAAAGAAGTCTCCTACAGACATCGCGCGAGTCACTGAAGCAGGAGGCCTCTACGAGCAGGTATAACCTTTGTTTTTCCTACATTCCCATCTCATAATCAGTTCTTACAGATCAATGATCCTAATATATATAAAGAAGAAGAAGGGTCATACTCAGAGACGTCTTTGGCTCCTAGTAGGCATAATGAAAAGGTGTTTACACAACAGCAGGGAATGGAGCAACAGCTGGAAATGCGTCATAATGCTGAGGATCCGCATTTGTCTAGAGTTCGGATTCAGCGGTTAACGCAGCGCGTTCACAGTGGCCATCAGCAGCAGCAGCAACAACAACAGCAACAGCGACAACACTTTGCAGAGCATCTTGTTCGACAGGTGAAATTTACTTAACCTATACAAGAAAATTTTCTGCCATCGCTATGACTTTACTAGTCAACTCAGTGACTGAGTCGCTGGATTAAAGCGAGGCCCGTTCGCAGGATGTGAAAGGAAGGTTTGAGAACAATGTGAAAGAACGATAATTTAGTAGAATCACGAATGTATGTGCAATGAGTTCAGCTCTAAAAAAGCATTTGTTCAGGGATTAGGATGATGCTGTGTGTTTTGGTTGACTTTTTCGAAACAATGGAATCAAAACAGCTCCGCAGTCGTTGTGCAAAATAGTACGTTTTAATGAAATTATCCGCAAAAATGCAGTGTCGTCGGGGAAATAGGTTAAGGTAGTCATGTATTCCGCAGTCCTGTCTTGCCTTTTCAACTTTCTCTATCCCATTTTCACCCCATCTATACGTTTGAATGTAGGTCCTCCCGTAAGGACTTCAAAAATCAAGGGCGCCGCATTTTGAATATCATGGTGTGAACGGATAACCTATCTTTTTTCGGTCTTGTCTTGCACAGTGTAGGCTTCTCTATCCACGTTTCCCTAAGCATGTAAGTGTGGGTCTGTCATATCGGCTATTTACGACTTATTTTCAAAAAAAATCTTCCTATTATTGTATTGGGTTGATTGGAAAGTAACAATGTTTTTTGAGCGTCCCAAAAACTCCTTCTCCATGTGAAACACCTCAGTCACTGATATATACCCCATTTTATTCAATTATCTTTTACGATCGTTCTGGTAATTTCATAGCTCATCGAATTTCTGTATCTCTCGGCCAAAACTGGACCACGTAAGATTAGCTATTCTCGTCATTGGCGAACGTCTCCTCATTCAAATAGTTTTGTGACCAAAATAAGTGGTGTTCAGATGGAGCGAGACCAGGCTACATGGTCGATGCGGTACCAATTTTTAACTAAACTTTGATAATCTTTGCTGAGCCACAAAAATGCCTGTGGTCCAGCCTCGTCTTACAAGGGAAGGATACTTGGTGGCAGTGGTCATTCAAGGACCAGCCCCTTCCTGAGTTATACCACAGCACTGAACGGACCACCGAGCCGAGCAAAGTCTCACCCGTGCAACGGTGGCCTAGCGGATAGTGTGATGGACGGATAGGCATGACATCAAGGTTTGTTTCCTTGATGCGTGCGCTCGTTTTGCTTTTAAATAAAATGTGTCCTTAAAGCTTGCAAAACTTTTTTTGGGCTCAATATTGGCCATCTAAGGAGCGAACTCACATCTTAGGATTACGGGGAATAGTAAATCAAAAAAATTTTCACCTCTACTGACCGAATATATACCCCGTCTACCCCGAATAGTCAAGATGGTGTTACGAAATCTTCGACAGCTCCCTGCACTTATGGAAGACGGCGGTCGATTGACTCATCCGACCACAGCCCTCTTTGGGAGGGATACTGCCCATACATCCTGCTGATACTTCCGCGCTTTCGAAGCGATGGTACAGGTTAACTGGCATTGTTGAAGAAATGCTGTATAACAATAGTGTAACGCTTTGTGTGCACGTATGATTATCCACTAGTTCTTAATTTGAACGCCCTTTCAGGCTGTTCTCAAAACCCTGGATTTGCCTACGACTTGCTTTGAATTGCCCTCTATGGATGCTCATTGTTGATTTGAAGCGTCATCCAGTTCGTGCAATGAGATCCCTACATTAATTTTATGATGAACCTTTCCAACTTATTCGCTGACCTCTGTAGGTAGACAGTCAGGACCAGATAGGAAAACACACTTTGCCGAAGATAGACTAATTTGAAAACTCATGCCCTCTCATACTTGCCCTAAACTTCAGTAGACGGCACTCTGTCGTGATAATACAAAACGTGTACTTTATATACGAGGAAGTGCGATAATACAAAACGTGTAGTTTATATACGAGGAAGTGCGACTGCTTATGACACTCGAACTATAGAGGGTTATGGACTCTTCTACCACCGCCGTAAAATTGGAGGTCATGGGCCGGTTCACAAAATTGAAGGCTACGTTTCACTTCCAAACCTCAGTTTCCCACGAACCTACGAGGTTTCTTCCGCGAAGTTACGGATCCATCGTCGCTGTCATCATCAGGCGACCCCAGAGGATCATTGTGATCGCCCTCCACGGACTGAACCTCCTCGCAGTGGATAGCGGGATTGTTTTCGTAACATCGAGTGGTACGGTTCAGAAGCTCTCTATTACCTCCTCTTCCTGGATGGCGCCCCGTTATGCTGCACTTACGAAAGTCCTCCATCAAAATGCGATGACACCACCCTCGGCCAGATTACTTCGCTGGTAACATGCTGAATAGCGTTTGATCCGATGAATCCCTTGGAACCATCCTCCTTGAGGCCTCTGAAGCCCATTTTGAGCGATTGTTCGGAAGTCCTCTTTTGTTCGAGTAGAGCTCCAACCTTATTGGGCCGGTGGGGGCAAAAAAAAACTTCTCCTGTAATACCTCCCAGAGTTCCTAAAATGTTAGATAGCTCCCTAGATGGCCCATATTGAACCAAAAAATGTTTTGCAAGCATTTAGGATACATTTTATGGAAAAGCAATTCAGTGCACGCATCAGGGAAACGAACCTTGATGCCACACTATCGGTCCACCACACTATCCGCTAGGCCGCCGTTGCACAGGTATGGGGGTTGCTCGGCTCTGTGATCCGTTCATTGCAGTGGTATAACACAGGGAGGGGCTGGTCCCGTAACATTGTACTCAGAATCGTTTAGCAGATTTGGAACATGGATTTGAGATCAGCGTTCGAAACCACCTACTGCGGTATACAGGGTGTCCCAAAATGTTTGGCGCCAAAATTCAGAATTTTCTAAGGTAGGAATAATCTATCAAATTCACACTACTTGCTGTTAATTAGCTGCATGAGAAGGTTTCCTTGCAATATGCATGGCTACTGATGTGGAACTCCCAATATCTTTTAGATGGAGGAGACCATTCAATGCCACTTGCAATCTGTGACACGCGAGAGGTGGAAGGGCATTATGAAATTCCTTGGAGTTTTTATAGTAACCATATAGGAGGCTATCAAACGATATAGAAAACAAGACTGAATCACGGGCAAACCAGGAAAGGTAGAAAGGTAGAATGTTTCTTAAGATAGGACTATTAAAATGTTCCACTTGCCAATCGGTCGGGATCCTGGGTGAACCATCAAAGGGAAGTCAACGGGCACGGCTTACCGGAGTTATCGCGATGGAAGAATGTCATGCAGAAGCTTCATTGCCATCCCTATCGTATGCAGGACTTTCGCTACAATTTCAATCTCAACAGACACTGCAATGCCAAAAAATGTAAAAAGTCGCAGACCCATTTGAGTGATTACACACAACTTTTCGTCGTTTTCTCTGACCAAATTTTTTTTCACGATAAAACCATCCCTCAGCAACCAAAACGTACGCATTCCAGAAAAAACATCCAGCGTGCAATCTCCCACAATAAGGTTGGTATAAGAATAGTGAAATGATGTTTTTTGAAGAAATCACTGGCAAGGGTGAGACGCTCGTGGCTTCTTCGGTGCCGGCGTGAAAATTGACCGAGACCAGTGCTCAAAGAGCGTACTGATGAACGTAATAAAACCCTGATCCGACTACGTTTCCTGAAACATATCGTAGTCCTCCCAGCAGGACGGTACTCCAGCCCACTGAGCCAAGCTTGCCCGCGAGCGGTGCCGACGACAGCTGCCCGACTTCATCGGTAAAAAGTAATGGCATTCTTATTTTCCAGAGCTTTAATCACTTGACTCCCCCGTAAGATCCTGACTAGAAGGGGACCTGTCGAGTTGGCACTCCCAGTTAGGAGTCCCAGAAAGCAAGACTGAAGAACGGTTGGGAAGAAATGGAGAAGGATACCTGCGTGCCGCATGCGATCATGTCGAGAGCAAACTTTAGGCCTCTATTCGCGCTAATGGGGGGTATTTTGAAATGTGATTGTAGCATGTTGTCGCAAATGATGTTGGCTACCGTGCATAGAAATTCCATCGTCTTTCGCACTGAGAATTTTCAAATATATTGCTATGGATCGGCGCCAGTAATTTTGGGACACCCTGTAGATCTCATCTTGAACGATAACTGCGACCAAGTATCCTTCCCTTGTAAGTTGGAATCAGACCACCTCAGTCATTTCCGCCACATCGAGCGAGTGCAGAATTTTGTGGATGGTAAAGCAAGTGGGATTGTCTAGCCGCCCGGGCTCTGTTAATTGATGGTGGCGTCGTGTGCATCAAGCTCGGTGCTAAAAACGTCCTTGAAGTACTCCGAATCAGGCACCAAAATCCAAGCAAATACAATAAAAGTGAGTGTATGAACGCTGTTAAAGACTTGGCTTAAATCCTACTGCGTCTGTGAGAACGATGCACGTTAAGCCACGACTTATCAATGGAGCATGAGCGGCGGGCAGTCTCAGTTGCTCTGCCATCTCCAAAGTTGAGCATTCGCTCGGTGTTGGTGAATGGCTTGTTGGGATTCAACCTAATTTTAAGTTCGTTAGTCTAAGTTGCAGTAACTGAGATGTGGTCGGCGTCAAGAGTAGCACGTAACAATCCATGCGTTTCGGAACATTTTCAAGCTAATGGGAACGAGGAACTCGTCGGATTGTTAGGCGCAATAAACATTCCATCATCGAAAACCTGTCCCGCGTAAAAGCATTGCATGCTTGCAAGACGCTATATTTCTCTTCCAAGAATGACTAGAGTCACTCAGTCTCCAACTTCTCTCTTGCTTTAACCTCGGCATAGATGTTCCTAGTTACAATATTCTTGTGCCGTGCGAGGTTGTTAGGTGAAACTTTTATTAATCAACGGCCTAACGTTTCGACGTTCTCGTCG